CTTTTATCCGGTATTGACCCACCATTGGTCACTCAAGTCACAATAGCCCACATTTTACTGTCATGCCGTCGTTACGACCGTGAGTGGCAGCACCATTTTAGACACACATTTTCTAAGAGTTTACCCCTGACGTTGGACAGTGTCATTGGTAATGGTGACACTGTCTGACTAGATTGTATTTTTAACTTTTTACTCACTATAGGTCTTTTTAATTGTATATAAATCTTTTATCACCATATTTTGGTTTTAACTCACTGTATTTTTACATTTTATTCTAATTTACTTTCACTGTTTTTACTGGTTGTTTGGCGCAGATAGCCTTGTTGCTTTGCATCATAAAGCACCAAACAAACAACCAACCCACTTTTACATAATTCATTACCAGTTCAAGCACCTAATTTGGATTTTCCACTTTAAAGTTTTTTTTGTGATTAACAAAATATAACTTAAGGTATACAGATATTATTACTACAGTCATGTGTTTTTAATTGTAATTTTTGGTATACAAACTGGATTGGGAATACTTATATTCATCAAGTCATGGTAGTATAGCTATAAATGTGTATAGTGTCAGTTTAATGCTGTTTATTCTTCATTTCGTTTCAAAGCAAATATATTGATGCAAATATGTCAGCTAAAGTTTTAATATTTCAAATGTTTTCAATTTTTTTTCTTGATAAGAAAAGTAAGATATTAAATCCTCAGAAGTTTGGATTGTTTCAGCTTTGGCTGGGGGTTAACTGGGTTATTACACCTGAATTTAAAATAACATTTAGTTGTTACTGAAAATAACCATTTTATTTAGTACATTTTGTCATTTCTGCATCCCTAGAGAATGTCAAAACTATTACTGGAGTATTGCTTATAAATGAGAGAAAATAAGTATGGTTTAACCATTAACAATTGTAAAAGTCGGTCAAGATAATAAAATCAGATTCAAATTCTGTTATTATTATTCTCTGATACTGTGGTAATGTCATATTAACAAAAGCAGCTGCATAACATCAGAATGGATAATTCTGGCCATCCAGGATGGAAAGCATAACAAGAATAAAACATTTTTTATTCGTAGTTAGGTGCTTGAAATCTTGCAAAGCAACATACAGTAAAATTATTTTATTGAGTTTGATGCTAAAGTAGAGGAAAAGCATTTATTGTTTGCTTCCAAGTGTTTTACCCATAAATTCTTTGATACCTATAACCTTCAAATAAGTGTTTGACAATTTTGCGGAAAATGTTCCTAAGTCCAGCAAAGAGTTTAGAAAATGAATAATTTCTTTACAAGTCAAGTCTCAGTCAGTAATTGATATTGAGTTGGCAATATTATGTACCATATCATTGATTAAATTTGGTTGAGCAGTTAAGAAGATACTTGAATTTATGGGAAAATATTTTTCTTCTGTTTTAACTTATTACCAAACAAAAAACAAATGTCCATTATATAAAGCATTATATATAAAAAGAACTGTATAATATAGTAAGTATACTAATGTGGAAATAATTTTCTTTTGTAGCTCTATGCATCAGTGAAAGAAAAGATGGAAGAGATGCAACAACACAATATGTCTTGGATCGAAGTCCAGTTTCTCAAGAAAGCTGTAGACATCTTATGCCAGTGTCGACAGACATTAATGTATACTTATGTCTTTGCATATTACTTGAAGAAAACCAACCAGTCAGTAATATTTGAAGTAAGTATTGTGCCTTTAACAAATACTGTTAGAATAATATTCAAAGCTTATAATGAGGTTAAGTTTTGTTGCACACACACAGATTTTGTATAATTATTTAGGGAGGAAAATTATCCAAGAATTTAATGGGTAAGTCTCTTAAATGCTGTTATTTATGGGCTAAAAATTTGACTTCTTTTCATTTTATGGTATTGTTGCTAATTCATAATGATTTAAGTAGAAGGAAAAGGACATTATTTAATATTTTTGTATTTAAAAAGTAATTTTTAGCAAAGTTGTATAAAAGTGTATTGACATGATTAAAATATTTTCTTGAAACCCAGTGACCATTTGTAATTTGTAAATCTGTGGCAAACTTTAATGTTATAGAAATTTTTTCCATATTTCCTACAGTTGAAAAATACTCAAAAGAAAAAAAAGTTTGCATTGTTCTCAAGTGGCTCTGATGATGAGTTATGTTTTGATAGATTTATAAGGTTTGATATTCAACCAAGTAATGTTGTTCGGAATAAATAAAGGTATAACATGAAGAGTAAGTTAAAAAGAATGGGCTTAGTGAACTATAAATAATAGGAAAGTATAAAAAGTATAATTTTGAAAAATACATTTAAATCGAATGAAGAATTATGTAATAATTAGTAATAAAAAAAAGTTGTAAGTGAAGCCAGTTGTATAAATAAATAACATGATATACATAGGTACAGAAGAATCCTAGTATGACATTAAATCACAATTTGGGAAACAGAAATTAACCCTAGCTTTGGGTCATGACATGAAAATTGCACAAACCTATGAGTTTGCAAAAAAACCACTGATTTGCAACATATTTTATTACTAGTTACACTAAAAATGTGAGGATTTCTGTTGATCATGTGTCCCCAATGTCACATCTTTTCCACAGATGATAACACTTGCTTGAGACTGTATCCTTTTAAATTTAGAAATAATATAAACACTGTGTTGTCAAATTAAATCAGCTGTTAAATGCTGTTTATATTAATTTATGGCTGTTTGTTTTTGTTTTCAATTTATCAGGATAATCAGAGAGATCTGGAGAGTGCTACAGAAAAACTGTCTGAATACTTGGAGAGAGAGATAACTCAGGAAAACCTGCTTGATATCAAACAGAAAGTCCAAGATAAGTATAGGTACAAGCAATACATATTACTTATTAGTCAGTTTTAATTTGTTTTAAGGTGTTTTTTTTTCCAAGAGAAATTTGCATCTAATATAATTAACTTTCAAAACTGGGCTGTGTGTGAAAAAAATGTGAAAATAAAAAGGAGGAGTGGGGCCAAGGTGAGTAATCCAGGATAGATCAAGAGTTTCACCACATACATTAGGAGCTTTCCAAGGTTCAAGAGAGACCTTGAAAATACTATATAAATCATTAGAAAGACATTTCTGGGCAAAAAAAAAGAGTCCACAGCCGTCCTGGAGATTTGCTATTCAGGATTCAGTATGGACCAGAATTCATGATAAGGTTTACAACAACACAGAATAATACTATAATTGATTGTTTTTGTTTCTTGGCCATGTGAAATATTAGATTGGATTTAATACATTTAAAAAATATTCAGTTCATTAATAGAGAAAAACTTGATTCTTTAAGAGAGTTACCATGTGAAGTATAGAAGCTTTGATTCTGTATTTTAAAATTTTAAAATATATAAAAAATATGGAACTAGACTTTTCCTATTTATACAAGTGCTTATGTAAAAAATGTGATAGCTTGGGTTTTGTATGTTTAGATATGTACAAATTAAGATTTATGTGTGCATGAAATTTTACTGTGTAGGAAGAAAAAAATCAGAATTTGCTTTATGTGTGAGAATTACCATATGAAGTAATGAAACTAGGATTTATATGTTTAGGAGATTTACTTTACATAAGAGTGAAGCTAAACGTTTCCAAGATAATGAGAATAGTATGTAAAAACTAAAACTTGTATGATTGGGAGACAGCATTGTATGCTTGGGATATGAAAGGGTGTGTAGAACTTGAAGATAGAAGATACTGCCATCAAGCACAAAGTTATTAGGTTACAGGGTACACCTTAAAGTGTAAAGTTATTAAGTTACAGGGTACACTTCAAAGTGTAAAGTTATTTAGTTACAGGGTACACTTCAAAGTGTAAAGTTATTAAGTTACAGGGTACACTTCAACGTGTAAAGTTATTTAGTTACAGGGTACACTTCAAAGTGTAAAGTTATTTAGTTACAGGGTACACTTCAAAGTGTAAAGTTATTAAGTTACAGGGTACACTTCAAAGTGTAAAGTTATTTAGTTACAGGGTACACTTCAAAGTGTAAAGTTATTAAGTTACAGGGTACACTTCAAAGTGTAAAGTTATTAAGTTACAGGGTACACTTCAAAGTGTAAAGTTATTTAGTTACAGGGTATACCTCAAAATGTAAGGAATGTAAATTACTGAAATATTATTCTCTCTTTCTTTTTTTGTATAAAGTTAAGAGTGTCTTTTTGGGGCAAACAACTATCCAATGTACGTAACCCTTTTCTGTAATAGCCATTTTCATCTGTGTGTACATTTTACTTGAACTTTGGTTGTAAAATGGTGTATTTTGTGTGTGTGTGTGTGTGCCTTATGTTTATGCAGTTTTTTGCTGAAGGTAATGCTTGTCTGTCCCACCCAAGTGTCTGTGCTGTGAAGTGTGTTTGTCTAGGGTTAGGATATGATATGGCAGATGTTGGAGTACTTTGTAGTAATTTGTTTTTCTTTATTGGATTTAAAGTTCAAGAACAGGAACAGCCTGAAGTTTAAGGGAAGGGGGGATGCGGTATTTAGATATACAAGGTGTTTCTTTCACTCCTAGTTTAAAATATTTATTTATTCAGTGTTGTTGTTGTTGTTTTTTTTTAATCTATTGACATATATATGCCAAGCAGGAAACCAGATTTTAACTTAGTTCATCTGTGTCAGTTCAATATTGTCTAGAATTCTGTGTCAGTTCCAGATTGCCTAGAATTACAATGGCCATTGATCATTTATAATTTTATATAGCTTATTGTTGTTGTTTTTTCATTTTGTCATCTGTCTTATTTAGAGTAGTGCACTGGGCTAATAATAAGTGTGTGATTAAAACAACACATGTTTTTTCAGGGCCATTTAGAAGTGCTAGTAAATAAAGTACAGGCTGACAGCAGTACAATCTTAAATTATTTATTGTATTTTAGTGTTTATTATTAATTCATTTAAATATATACATTTATTTATTTATAAATGGTTGACTGTTCATACCTGGCTGAGTTGGAGCTGGGTCAAGTTGGTGGTGCCTTCTCATGGATACCCATATTTGTTGTTCCTCCACTATATTCTAGTTAAGTGAAACAGATTTTACAAACGACCTTTATTTTCTAGAGAAAATCCAAAATACTTCCACATTTTTGAGTTTTATCTTCTCTGGGCATTTCTAAACTTCTTAATTATTTTTTCCATAATTTTCTGTCATTGAAACAGACTGTAAAAATTTTGCTGGTTCCCTCTCAGCATTTGAATATGTACATCATACTGCCTTGATATTCAGAGGTTAATAAGCACCATGAACCCCTTTTAGAAATTTGGGAATGTGAGGACAAAAGGATCAAAAATTAATTAAGAGAAGCAAAAAAAATTATTGTTACTTTTGTTGAATCACAAGACATTTGTTTCAAACCTTAACTGTTGTGATAAAAGCATATGTTAGAAAATTAAATCAAGTGATTTGTATTTTTTCCTCAGTGGTCAGAAACTGTTATTACTTGCAAGTTCAACGATACATCTGTTTAACTTTTGTTTTTCTTTTCAGGTATTGTGAAATTAGAAGAAAGTTGCTTCTAGAACATGTACACGAAGGATATGAGAAAGACTGGTGGCTGTATTGTGATTAGTGCTGGTAGTAATTTTGTTGCTTTCTGATAAAGAATAGGTGTTACCCTTGACAACAACGATTGACCAAGTTTCTTGCTTGGAGAGGATGTGGGTTAAATAACCCTGCAGCTTCTGAATTTTAGACAAATCTGAAAAGAAAAAAAACCTTGGAAGAATCATGTTGAACCCTCTAAATATCAGAACAGTAGAGTTACTTGTTGTATGATTTATTAAAGCACACAGATTTGTAATTTAAAATTACAACTTAAGAAAATTTTTCCTGCAAGTTCATAATTCGTCCTACTTTATTTTCTTTACGCTTCTGTTGCCAAATTTGTTTTCACAAAACTTTCAGGAAAAATAGGTATAATATTCATTGAGTCTTTATCAACTTAACAGGTTTATTTTCTAGGTATTACAATGCTGTTAAAACTATGAATGTTTTGGTAGATTCTCATACACCATAGTACTTTTTAAGAATTATACAAAATACAAATTATCTTATCCTAAAAAAAATTAATGTGACTAAGATATGTGTGTGTGTGTGTGTATATTATATGGTATCAAATAATAACTATACAGTAATTTGTGGGATTTAAAGAAGTTAAGGTCAGAGAAAGAAATATATTGTATGTTTCAAGCTGAATCTGCTTCCATGTACAGAAGTTTTTGTGTAAATCTCTTCAAATAAAATATTGCAGTTATTAATGAACAGGTAAGGAGCTGTTTGTGTGTAACTCAGAATCAGACTTTTGTTTTCATTTAATTAGAATACAGTTAAAGCTAATTGATATGCAGAACTATTCTAAAGTTACTAGGTGTTTAGAAAAAGATATTAGGAAAAATCAGCTGATATAGGTCATGTAGCACAAATTGTATGAACTAACTACAAACTAGACTTATCAAGTTCAAGTCAAAGAAAAATAACTTTAACCAGAAATTATAAATAAATATTTAACTTACAAGGCTTTGAATTAAATATGAAATTCCATAAATACTCTAAATATAATGAGTAAGAAAAAAAAAATAGTAATAAGTGACAGCTGTATGTAAAATATTTGATATATATATATATACATATATTACCAGGTGAGAACTGTAACCCACGAATAAAGTGTGGTTGGAATATACTATATTATCATCTAATTCTTGAGAATCCCTAATGGACAAGATTAAGAATGTAGTATTAAATATATAATATGCCTGAAATGATATATTATGACAAGTATAATTAATTATAATCATGTTTTTGTCGCCCTTGTAAAGGGCGTTCACACCATAACTTCCAGTTTTTACACAAATGCAACACAAGTTTTATTTTAAGGCAGTCATTTGTACTTCCTTTATTTTCCAAAATATTGTTTTAAATAAAATCAACAAGATACCTTTCGTCTGTACTGGTTTTTGTCTGGCTGTTACAAGAGGTGTAAAATTCGCCATTTTTTATGATACAAGTGAAAATAAGTACTTGTACAATGCAACTGTTATAAAACCTAATGAAGAAATCGTTCTTTTGGTTGTTTGTGTGAGTCTTTAGTTTTACGTTATTGTTGTCTATTACAAGCATGTCATTGTTACGATATATTATTTAACAAATTTCGCCTGTAGTGCCTATGTTCAGTTAAGTGCAATAAGAGATGTTTCTTTGCGAACTAGTTTGTAAAGCGTTCCTTGCTAATAAACTAATCCAACATGTGCTGAACATTAGCATGGCAAATTCTCGCAATTTAATTTCTTTTAATGAACTGCTGAAGTAATGCACGGTAAGAAAACAGTCGACTTTGTGTTAATTCACTATCAACTATAGTTAATAAAAAGGAAAATAAACGTCTCATAGATTAATTTACTCCAATCCTGCCTAAAATAATTTCAAGTGCCGCGACTATTGAGGATTCCCTTTTGTTTTAACAACAATAAAAACCTTTAATACGTAGATTCCACTAATGAAAAGTTTTTATTAATTGGTGAAAATATTACATCGCAATAAGTCTCCAGTGGCACGGCGGTATGTCTACGGACTTACAACGCTAGAATCCGGGTTTCGATACCCGTGGTGGGCAGAGCACAGATAGCCCATTGCGTTGCTTTGTGCTTAACTTCAAACAAACAAGCATCGCAATAAAGTGCTTTGTCCTCGTTTGTAATGTTGTTTATGATTGGGTGAAACCTAAATCAGTGATCGCTCAAGTATGTATCACCAATTGGACAAATGAGGTATTGATAAGTAATACCACCAAATCTGTACCACAAATTTATTAAACAGTAAAAAAAACACAGTTTATCAAAAAAAAAAAATTTCAATTTTGAGTTCCTCGTATTTCTATCAGAAATTGTCTTTTAATCTTCCATATGCCAGTGATGAAAAAAATGGTAATTTAGGAACTTTCATACCATTTATGTATGACCTCAGTGATGCATCCAGTTTTTATTAATTTTTGTTATCTTTACAAATTAAAAACAGATATGATCATATGTAAATGATTTGAACTTTTTCATTAGATATAAAGATTTAGAAAGTTATATTTATTACTTAAGCACAATTGATATATTAACATTATTTCAGTTACCACGGGCTAACTAAATTACATAATCACAATAGAAACAAATAATTTTTAATTTAACAATTTTTGATCACATAAAAAGATAATACCAGAATGTGACTATTGTATGTAATTTGCATATTTTTTATGAATGTTGAATTATAACAATATACGCAAGATTTATTGACGTACGAAAGCACGTGACATTCAATGCAAATTTGACTGAAATAAAGATTTTTTTTCGGAGGAACGTATTATAATATTAACTTTTTAATTTCGCTTTTAGACACTAAATAAAATAAAACTTATCATGTCCATTCAGTTTAACATTATATTTTGAATACAATGTCTTTTTTTTCCCTTCAGTTTTTATATTTTGCAAGAATGTAATGATATACTTAAAAGTATAATCTCACGGAAAGAACAGCTTTAAGTTTCTTTTTTTGCTTAAAATTTTATTAGCCGTTGTACAGCGGTTCATAGAGTGGCTCTGAGTTTTTAAAAATATAAACTTGTACCTTATACCTCCGTCATCTCCAATTTCAGATCTAATTATAGTTTTGAGCTCCAGAGTTCAAACCCTTTCGATTGATGTATTTGACCACGCCCAACGTCTCATAGTTTAATTTCCTCTAATCCTGCCTAAAAGAATTTCAAGTGCCGCGGCTATTGAGGATTCCCTCTTGTTTTCATTTATTAATAATAGAATTAAAAACCACTTTTATAAGTTTCTGATTTTAATTAAATGCTTTGCCGATTTTGAGTTGAAGTTGGACCCTACGTCATCGTTTCTTGTTTTGTTTTTTCCTCTTTAAGTTCAAGCCACACACTATCTACGCTGTGTCCACTGCGAGCATTGAGCCCCGGTTTTTAACGGTAAAAGCCCTCAAGCTCACCGTTCACTCACCAAGGAGGGAGAAGGGGGATTCCTTGTACTTTCTAATAAAAAAATGCGTGTTGTATATTATTATAAGAGTCTGAGATATTTGTTATTAAATATAAGTTGACTAAACTACTACTTTCTAAGAGATCCTGGAGAAGACACTTGTGACGCTTTTTCAATGTAATGAAAGCACTGCTCCCAGTGGCTCAGCGGTATGTCTGCGAACTTACAACGCTAGAAACCGGGGTTCGACACCCGTGCACAGATAGCCCATTGTGTAGCTTTGTGCTTAATTACAAACAAACAGTGTCCTTTAGTGATTGGGCGGTAAGTCTGAAGGCTAACGACGCCAAAAATTGGGCTTCGATACCCGTGGTGAGAAGAGTACAGATAGCTTATTTTGTAGTTTTGCGCTTAACAACAACCTAAACCAATGAAAGCGGTACGCTTTCATGACCGAATTACAACTTAGCAGTGACCTTGATTTAAAAAAAAGGAAAGCACCTCGTTTCTGTACACTGCTGTTATTTCACTTTATGAAGGAATCGACGACAGAGAAAATTATTGCTCGTAAAGATCTTGTGGCACTACGGTGAATTAATATGAATCTTTGTTTGATTTACTTTTCAAGCTACAGTCACAGAAATCATGGGAGAAATTTTGCCCGACAGCAAAACCCAATGAGCATTAGCAGAAACGATAATTTGTTTAAATTAAATTTTGGTTTGAGATTCTGTATGAGCGATTGCATGATGTTTTCATGACCCTTAGTGCTTTCCAGATTTACAATGCTAAACTCCGGGGTTTAATTCCCCACGATGGACAGAGCGCAGATAATCCATTGTGTAGCCTTGCGCTAAATGAGCAATAACAACATTTTTGTTTTAATCAATGGCATAGTTTCATAGTATGAAGCTAATTTGAACAGGAACACAGCCATGTTTATTAGGAGACGGTCTGACCCTGTGGTAGAGCTTTGGATGTCGGAACTGTCAACACGGGTTCGAATCTTTGCGATAACATAGAATATTCTCCGTACTTTAAATAGTGAGTGCATTATAAGAATGACAGTTAATCCCTGAACGAAGATGGTAGATGTTGCTGACTGGTTGTCTTTCCTTTGGTCAGTAGTTTAAGATTAGTTTGCCACAAATACATGACTGTAGACGTGGAAATTATTCGACACATTTGGGTGTAGAGGTTCCTTATAAGAATGACATAAATTGAAGAGGTAAATTTGTAAAATGTTCAGGTTTGCTGAAAAAGATGTACTTAAAATTAAACAGTTGTTTTCCATTTTGAATTTTAAGAGGGTAAAAACTGTAATATATTTCTTAAGATTTTCATTTATGAAAGATCGCGGGTTCGAATCCCCGTCATCCCAAACAGGCTCGCTCTTTCAGCCGTGGGGGCGTTATAATGTGACAGTCAATCCCCCTATTCGGGGTGGTGATGACTAGCTGCCTGTTAAATTAGGGACGGCTAGCGCAGATAACTTTGCGCGAAATTCAAACAATCGTCAATACTACATTTCACAAGTTATATTTCTGGAAACTGAAATTAAATCTAAGTAGTTTTTATATTAAAAAAGTTAAAGTCTTCTTTCCAAAAAAGTGATTGATAATTGAAGTTCCTTTTTTTTTCAGATTATAAAAGTTCAAACATGATATTAAACCCCTCCAGCGGCACAACGACTAGTCTGAAGGATTATAACACTAAAAAAAACCGGGTTTTGATACCCGTAGTAGGCAAAGTACAGATAGCCCATTGTGTATTCTTGTGCTTAACTACAAAAAACAAGCATTATATTGAAGTTAAAAATAATAGTAATGTTTTGTGTAAAATCTATTTTATAGTTCGCCTACGAAAGTTGAATAAATTGAAACATCAATTCGTAATATTCATGTAGTATTTTTATATAATCCTTTTAGTGTAATATATAATTTCTCTATTTATGAGCTTGGGGAAAAACATCAACAACAAAAAAGTATTAGCTCAAGGATTTATAGGTTGTCGGTTAGTTCACCAAATTGGTTTATACTTCTTTATTTATAGTTTTGAAAGTGTGTTACAAAAGTTATAATCCTTGCCAATTTGGATTGAAGTTAACTGTACTTTGATAGTTTTAAAACCGAATGCCTTTATCTGTAATCATATGTTTTAAAATCATCAACATAATATTTATAATAAATAATATTTTGCCTTAAAACACGTAAGTTTCATTGACACTAGATAAAGGCAATTCATACCACTGAACCATGCAGTGTGTCTATTCAAAACTAAATTAATTGTAATGATATAAATATTTCTTGTTAAATAATCACGGCTTGAGGGCTTGTGTCATGTTATACAGAAACAATTTAGCAGTGTAAGACTAGAGGGAAGGCAGCTGGTCATCACCGCCAACTCTTGGGCTACTCTTTTACCAACGAATAGTGGGATTGACCGTCACATTATATATCGCCCCCCACGGCTGAAAAGGCGAGCGTGTTTGGTTCGTACCCGCGACCCTCAGATTGCGAGTCGAGCGCCCTAACCACCTGTCGTAAATATTTGATTGTTCAATATGACTTCAGTGATCTTCATATTACTTTTGTACATTTCTACCTTATGTTCATATGGCAGACAGCCACACGTGTTTCTTCGTTCAAACTTATCCAGAATGTATTTACAAATCCACGTGACACAAAAGGAAATTAAAAACCAACGATTAAGGGATTTATACTTCAAGCTTATGTATTATAGAAACATTGATAACATAATTAGTAGATGAAACTATTATCTATTCACGTTAAATATTTTTTACTTTATATTAAATTCAGAAGTATGTTAAATTTGTCAAGACAAAATATTTCAGTTTAGAAAGTAAGGCCATATAATTTGAAACACACGTACTAATTTAGTGTACAAATTTTGTATCTCTATCATACTTAACATACTGAGTGCATCGATATCAAACATAATTTAGGACAAAAATATTTCACGTTCATTTAAACTAAGACTTAAGTTAAATCTAACTAATGACAAACTAGTGTGTCACTGAACTTTCACCTTAATGTTTAGCAAAATGAATTTATTGACTCTTTA